ATGACGACTTCTCGGTGTTGAGTGTCAGAACTATTTACGACAATAATGGTCTTGAAACAAAGAAACTCCTGAACCTAGGCATCGGCTGGGACATGATTGTAAATATGAACATACCGGTAGATTCAGCAAGCCCTGTAAGCTTTTTAAAACAGAATGTTCTACATGAATTTAAACTAAGATACCCAAATCTCAAGATACACCCAGTGGAGAAAAGAATAAAAAACCTATACTGCGGATTCACCAACGATACGATCAATATTTTGGGAAAAATAATTGTCAGAACACAGTCCAATGGGTGGATCAGCGAAGAAACCCCATTCTTCATAACCGGCGGACACGAGCGTAACATATTGGGGAACGACAATTTACCCAAACTGGGCATAGAAATATCGCAGAGGAAACGCCCCTAACCAATCTGCATGGTCAATCAACCCACACTCGAGAGTGAGTACAAAAACTTACCTTCTTTATCAGACAACATTTTTAATGAGTTTAAGAACTTATTCACTAGAGTGGGGAAAATACCTAACGATCGGAAGGTAACCCATTTTCACACACCTTTTAAACCAATACAGTCCAAAGGGAGAAGAGTACCACTCCATTTACTCGCGGTAGTGAACGAAGAGTCAAAAAGAATGGAAAAAGAAGGTCACATAATAAAATTAGAGAAATGTGACGAAGATTGCTTCATCAGTCCAATTGAAATCACTCGGAAAAAGGATACTTCAATAAAACTGGCACTGGATTCCAAGCTTTTAAATGATCAAATTTTTAAAAATAAGTATCAAATGCCGAATATCCATGAACTGATTGATCACGTGGCACTCCAAATTTCAGAAAAACCCAACGGGCGAGTGTGGTTTAGTAACTTAGATCTGAAAAACGCCTATAGCCAACTTCAACTTTGCAATCAAACAAAAAAACAGTGCAATTTTAGCATAGTAGGCGGCGAAACGACAGGAACGTATCGGTTTCTAACAGGATTTTACGGAATAGGAGACATGCCCAATGAATTCCAACGGGTCATGGCCTCAATGTTGAAAAATATCCCGTTTGCAAAATGTTACATAGACGACATCCTGGTAGCCTCGCGTGGATCGCTGGAAGAACACAAATCAATAGTGTACAAAATTTTATCAATCTTAGATAAGAACAACATGGCAGTGAAATGGGGGAAATGCGCATTTTTTAAATCTGACATCGAATGGCTTGGCTTGAAGATCTCAGGCAATGGAAAACGACCGTTGGTCGGTAAAGCCGACGCAATAAAAAATTTGCCAACCCCGAAGAATATTTCTGAACTTCGCTCATTTTTCGGCTCAATAAACCAATATGTAAAATTCGTCCCTAATTTATCCACGCTAAGCTCTCCTCTTCGACCTCTTCTAAAGAAAAAATCGCTATACAAATGGGATACCAGCCATTCAATAGCGTTTGAGAAGTTAAAAACGGAAATTGTAAATATTGCAGAAAACAGCCATTTTGATATAAAAGAGAAGACAAGACTAACAACGGACGCTTCACATAGCGGACTAGGGGCTACCCTAGAACAATTACAGGACGACCAGTGGAAAACAATCGCGTTTGCATCCAGATTTTGAAACAACCATGAAATGAAATATTCTACCAACGAATTAGAGTTGCTGGGAGTCGTATGGGCTGCAGAACATTTCAGAAACTACCTGTACGGAACAGAATTCCAAATAGTAACTGACCACAAAGCGTTACTATCAGCACTTTCAGCAAATCATGGCAATAAAACGATGCACAGCCGATTGACCCGCTGGGTAAACAGACTCTTACCTTTCAATTTTAAAATTTCACATTTACCAGGAAAGGACATGGGCTTTACGGACCTTTTATCTAGACTTCCTTCGGGCAAAGCCCTTCCAATTTCACATTATGACGACGAATTTGTAGTCGCTTCATTCGACAGAATTCAGAACCTTTTATCGACTAATAAAGATTCTAAATTACTTACTGTAAATTCTGTAGATAGACCAGCGGTCGCTGTAAATACTAATTCACGAGTTAATACAATCCCATCGGGAAACGAAAATTCAAGCGACGTGATTGGTCAAAATCAGTTAATAGCTCTTTAGCTTTACTCAATCTCAAGATTATTGCTGCTATCATATCTTGTATCGCTCAGTCGATAAAAATTTGCCACAATAATCATTCTCGGACAGAAAATTGTACTACAATTTGCCAACCAGTTGATAATTCTACATTTAATTTTAAAAGTATTACCTTTTCGGACAAAGTCCTTTTACATTTCTTACTACTAAACAGACACTTCGTACCATCTAACAAGAAAAAACAAGAACTCCCAATGGACAAAGTGAACGAACCCCTTTTGATCATCCCCGAAGAACATAATATTGCTCTCAAATGCCACCCGACCACGCAGATCTCTTAAGAAGATATAAGGCTGATCTGAATTTACCGAATTCTCCAATTCGCCCAGAAAACCACTGTTCGAAGAAATTGCTGCAGATCATGACTAGAGAAGACAAGGTGCTGTGGGATCTGATAGAGACGAAAAAGAGGAATCGACCGATGGGCATACACGGGACTTACATGAAGAACTACACTAAAGATTTACAAGTGAAGGACGAGCTACTCTTTTTTGACAACAAACTAGTCGTCCCAGCTACCATCAGGGGAACTTTTAATTCAATGTTACACGAGACTCACCCAGGACAGTTCGGGATGAAATCCCTCGCCGAATTTTTGTGGTGGCCACATATTTACCGGGAAATTTATCATCAAGGGAGAACATGTACCCAATGTTTAAAAGCGGGTAAGAACATTAAAGTGATACTAGGCACCCATAATATTTCGAAACTTCCGACGTTGACATTCGCGAACGAAGAAATTAATTTGGATTTTGCGGGACCGTTGGATGCTAGCTGGGGTAACAACAAATACATTCTTCTTTGTATCGACCGCTACACTAAGTTTCCTTCGGCCAAGATTGTCAATAACACCTCTACAAGAAACGTAATTTCATTCCTAAACGATTACTGTCATCTTCACGGATTCCCAAGAAAAATTAGAGTCGACCATGGGTCATGCCTTCTTTCACATGATTTCAAAAACTTCTGCGATAAATTTAATATAGACATCATTTACTGCACTGTCGGAGACCACAGATCCAACGGGCTAGTGGAAAGACTAGTATACACAATTAAATCGAAATTACTGGCAATGTCATTCGAAGTACCTAAACCATCTCTAAACGATTCGATCGAGAAAATCATCTGGAATCTCAGAATCTCAAAACAAACGGCGATCGGCTGTACTCCGTTTGAAAAGCATTTTAATAGAGTAGCGAACACTAGGTGGAAAAATCTTATGTCCAATATTGACTATTTAGATAAAGGAAAGGCTATATTGTCCAAAGAGCGGGCTACTAACTGGGAACTACACGACGGGGCAGAAGATGGCTATTTGGACGAGGAAAAGGACAGCACGTCGGACCCAGAAGAAAACTTGCCATTAGCTAGGACGTTCAGCCTACACACTATCCCGGACGACACTACCCGAACTTCAGATCCACTGGGAAAAAGAAAAGCAGTAACGGGAGGTAACTTATATAGAAAGGTGTCTAACAGGAAAAATAGGGACCCTTATTTTAATCTGGTTAAGAAGGATATCATCGATTCTTCAGAGCACACAGTTACCCTCGACAACGGTCACGTTTTACGTAAATCGGATCTGGCTATAAAAGGAAAAATACTCCCAGGGCCCAAAAAGATAATAGTGAATCAGACACCCACTGGACATAATACTCATATTCATTCGAGTTTAGCTGGGAAGAGGAAACTCTCTCCACCGAAGAAAGCTGGATCGACAACAGCCGGCCACTCGAGACAAGGCACCCCGAGAACGGAGATTATCAGATCAGGGACTAGCGCACCGACCGCGAGCTCGGCCACTCAAGACTCTCCAAAACTTTCTTCAGGTTCATCTTCCTTAAATCTAGATTCGTGGGACGGGATAATCGAGGATTACTTTGACGATGTGACCACTAATAACGTACCTCAAAACCCCCATACCGAGTCTAATCAGGGCTTAAGTATTACAGGTCATGTCGAATCCCCACTATTGAGTTCAGAAGGGACAGAGAACAACGACCCACTGGAGATTGTGGTCATACACGACGCGAATACTAGTGAAGGATCACAGGACAACCCTATTATGATAGACAGTATTCCGGAACAGACGATCAGTGTGACTCCAAAGACCCGAATTTCTAGACGACGCACAAATGTGGGCCCCCACAATTTTACGGAAATCGGAGATTTATAGACGTGGTGCAAGAGAAAGACGACCTAGGGGCGCCAACTTCTGTATTTTCTCAGGCACCGGAATTTCCTACTTTATCGGTCAACTCTCCTTCTGACCTTTTGACTCCATTAGCGGAGGCACCCCCCAGACAGATCCTAGTCGCAGAAACTACGTTGTCATGGTCTTCAAGGAACTCCCTCCCGAGGGGCAGACTTGCAACGTCAACCACGAAGACTCAACTCCACGAGAATTCTTCAAACTCAAACTTATCTTACCCGACCTCAAAGGACCCTTCATTAGAGATGGACAACTATAGTGAGATCTCATCAACTATAGATTCAGAAGTGAGAGCGAAATTGGATGAGTTTGAGAACCAATTCTTGTAATCGACATAACAATTCAAACTTAACAAAACAATTCTGTAATCCATATTTTCCGCCGGACTTTTTAATTTCACCTGTAGATACAATTGTACATGTTAATGTACATGTTGTGGATTAGTTTTATTTGGTTAGTTACCGTATTCTGTAAAAATTGTAATTCTGTATAGACACCTGTACATTGCTACATTCTCTTTCAATTTGTGGATTTTATTTTGCCGCTGTGTATTTACCCTCTGGGCGCAGTTTGTAAAATTCTTCCATTTTCTGAGGGGGAAAAAGGGTGTATATAGAGTTATATAGTTAGTTTGCAATTTCATTTTTTTTTCCCGGTGGGAAATGTTGTGATTTGTTTTTAGTATGTTATAATGACCTTCGGTATTTAAATTAATACCAGTTTAGTTACGACCATCGGTCGATATGAACGGAAGTTCAGTTGTCCTTTTTAACGTTCTTAATTCAACTACTTCCTTTTAACGTTTTAACATTTAAGCTTATGTACATACCGTGTACATTTAGACACATAGAATTAGATTAGTTTATTAAAGGGATCCATTTGAAGCCTTCGGATCATTCGCACTTGCAAGTCCAGAAGCTGCAAGTTCGCGCAATTATTTTTTCAGATCGCGACTTGTGGTTTTGTAGTAGAACAACTCTCTTTCCAAATCTTAAATCTTCACCTCCATAACAGGGTCCGTTGCCATTTTTGCTGTCAGTTCTTCGCTGTTAGCTTGCTTGCTAGCTGTAGCTTGTATTTGCTTCAGAAGCAACTGCATCTTATTCTTATACTCTTTAATTATGTCGGAGTCCTACGGTCGAAGTCACTTTTGCTCTGATGGACAGCGTGTTGTAAGCTTCGAATGACTTTTTCCTGCTCGTCAACTTTAACTAGCAGCTCATTCTCCTGAAGAGTCAAATTTTTCTCAGTCTCTTTAAGATCTACTACCTTTTTGAAATAAGTTGTCAGTAATGTTTATGAGTCCTGGTCGTTCCATTTGATACAATTAGGCTCGGAGAACTCTTCCAAAGCCTCCACTTTCTCTTGATAAGTGGAAATTTGCTCCGAATTGAAATCGATTGCAGCTTCTAGCATTTCTACTGCCTCTTCCAATTCGGTTAGTTTACGTTCGTCATTATCTCCCAAAATACGTCCTTCTCTAATCTGTTCGTCAATTACGTCACGCTTGTTCAGCAAATCGTCTCTTTGTTTGGCCAAGTCATTCAAAACGTCTTCCTTGTCGCCTCTGGCAGTTGCCATTTCGATACTGGCGTCCAGTCGTCCAACTTTGCCTACTAGTTCCAAAGCCTGGCCAGACAACATCTGACTGGCACGAAGTTTCTTCACCTCTATTTGGGTTTTCTCCATGATCGCATTTTCTTTTTCGGCCATCAGTTGTTCTTTTCTGGCTGGCTCTTCCTCCAACCTAAGTTTCGAAATGACAAACAAAAGATTCAAGATCGAGGTACAAGAACGCTATTAATAATTCCCTAGAATTATCGTATCTCGTAAACAATCACCTCTATAATAACTACTAATGAATTTAAAGTCTTACAATTCAACTTAACGAAACCTTTTAACAACAACATGAAATTGACAATTTCAAGACGAAAGACACTCGCAGACAGTTTGACAGAACCTACTATAACTAAATCAACGGCTCATAACAAAATTTAAACTTGGTTGAAAAAATACACCTTTTCGCCGGAAAGGGCGTTATTTAAAGGCAAAAACACTGATAAAAGCAGATTAAGACAAGAAAATGAGCCAGAAAACAATCCAAAAAGTCAAAAGCCTATAAACTGACCAAAACTCTGATTGTTTGTCAAGTTTTTGTCAGAAATTTGAGAAGTGCATTTTCAGTTAATGCTAATGAAGTTTTTTGTAATTTAGTCGTTCTGCTATAAGGGATTCCTTTAAACCGTCTACAAAATATCTTTAACTTAAAATGAGCAGAAAAATAGTTTAACAAAATGTGGCCTCCCCTACTTGTTCAACATCTGTTTCTTCTGCATCAGCTTCTCCATCTCAACCTCCACTTCATTCATAGGCTGCTGTTGCCCCTGCTGTATTCCACTTCCGCTGGGGGAGAAATTAGGACGTCTACTCTTCCGCATCAAATTCACCTAGAATGCAACCACTTTTTTTATTACGGATTACGCTAGTTTTAAAGATACATGAAAAGTAAATTCTTTCTTTATTTGTTACATTTTTTTGCAACATGAACTTGTTCTAATTTTCCCATCTTTGAATTCATAGGAGTTGCGACTATCCTATGGAGATATTTTAGATATGTACATACAGCCACATACCAACCACACAGTCGTTATGTACATTTTTTCAAATTCAAAATCCGCTATCATAAAGACACGTCGATCAAGGTTGATCATATCATAAGGAAGCCGATACATTCACAATCCAGCTTGTATTTGAATATTCCAAAACAAAATCCATCTCGAAAAAACAAGGTCTGAACATTTTCACATTCATAACTTTTGAGCTAAGATAAATTACACCTGTAAATCAAATCCTAACTAACGCCAGTAAAACATAGAAAACATATGAAGAATTCAAAAGAAATTACGACCTTTGAGCGTAAGTATACTTGTTTCCTAACACAAACTGCTCCAAAGTCAAACATTGATTTAAAAAATGTAAATTTTTTGCGTTCTTTTTTGCAAATAAAACAAATCCGCTATTGTTGCAATATTTGGACTACTGACCTCTTCGTTCTTCCTCTTGAGTATCCAACTTGGTCTCCAACTCCTTCACTTTGTGTGTGTTGGCAATCATACCCTTCTCCATCAGTCTCTTCTGCACTTGGTCATACTGCGATCTCATCTTCTGCAGCTCCACCGTCAAGTCAGACACCTCAAATTACACCAACAACAAATAGATACAAATAGCTCATTAGGCCAAAGTGCACAAGCGAAAAACGTTAAAACACTGGAAGAAGTAGCAAATAACAAATAAGCAAATAGCAAGTCAAACTATTCTTCAGAAACAGAAGAGCAAAACAAAGAGTCAGGAACGGAAAAAACAAAAAACGAACAAATCAGTTTGTGCCAAAATTAAGATAACTTTCTCGTTGGCTACGAGGATTGTAGTGAAGCAAACGTGAATTTTGAGATTCTGAGTCAGATCACCTTTTTGTCGACTTGATTCTGAATGGAAGCTGCCAGATTAACTCCATCTTTGTTGCGGCCGGTTCTCTTTCCACTTGAAGCCCCACTGTTCTTATTGGACGTATTAGTATTAACATGGTCACCAGATCCCGAGTCTTCTTTCAGCAACTTCTTCGCCGATGAAGCCTCTTTCCCTAGTAATAATGACACACACAGACCTTCATCAACAAAGAGGCGAAGCAGAGCTTCGCACTACTTGCGATATAACACAAGTGTAGCATTGCAAGCTAGCGAATAGAAAATGAGACGGAAACCAATAAACCAAAAAACTATATTTTGACTAAGCCGGTAGCATAAGCCGAAAACGTTATATTCACACTTGGTAAATTGACAAGATAACAAAACCAGTCAATTAAATTAAGAATTGTTTAAATCAGAAAAAAATTCCAGCTTCGGAAACAAAGCCTACAGAAAATTAGCAGACGAACCGAACTTCTACAATTCGATTCATACCGTGGAAAAAACATTCTCATACATACTGCAAATAAGAACGAATATGGATTGTGTGCACTGGGTATATTAACAATACACAGAGTCGAAGCTGCCCTTCGCAATTACTAGCGAGGAAACGACAGAGCAGTAAAACTATATAGTGGAATAAGAAAACGTAGATACAATCTCGAATTAGTAAAACAATTGCTTTGCTCCGGATTCCAACCAACGACCTCAAGATTTGGACTTTCGCGTCCGTCCCTCTCAACCACGGACGCTAATCGATCGGCAAACACTAGCCATAAATTAGCAGAAGTCAGATGCAATGAAAATTCCACTGCGACAGATCGTGACTATAGCACAAGTGCAACCAACTGAGCACTTTTATTTGCAATTAGGACAGGAACGAAAACAGAGTCATACTAATACACGACGCTAACCGATCAGCAAACACTACCCACAAATTAGCAGAAATCAGATGCAATGAATTTTCCACTGCGACAGATCGTGACTAGAGCACAAGTTCAACCAACTGAGTACTTTAATTTGCAATTAAGATTGGAACGAAAACAGAGTCATACTAATACACGACGCCAACCTATCAGCAAACACTAGCCACAAATTAGCAGAAATCAGTTGCCAAGAAATTTCCACGGAGACAGATTGTGACTATAGCACAATTGCAACCAACTGAGCACTTTTATTTGCAATTAAGATGGGAACGAAAACAGAGTCATACTAATAGACGACGCTAACCGATCAGCAAACACTAGCCACAAATTAGCAGAAATCAGATGCAATGAATTTTCCACTGCGACAGATCGTGACTATAGCACAAGTTCAACCAACTGAGCACTTTTATTTGCAATTAAGATTGGAATGAAAACAGAGTCATACTAATACACGACGCTAACCGATCAGCAAACACTAGCCACAAATTAACAGAAATCAGTTGCCATGAAATTTCCACGGAGACAGATTGTGACTATAGCACAATTGCAACCAACTGAGCACTTTTATTTGCAATTAAGATTGGAACGAAAACAGAGTCATACTAATAGACGACGCTAACCGATCAGCAAACACTAGCCACAAATTAGCAGAAATCAGATGCAATGAATTTTCCACTGCGACAGATCGTGACTATAGCACAAGTTCAACCAACTGAGCACTTTTATTTGCAATTAAGATTGGAATGAAAACAGAGTCATACTAATACACGACGCCAACCTATCAGCAAACACTAGCCACAAATTAGCAGAAATCAGTTGCCAAGGAATTTCCACGGAGACAGATTGTGACTATAGCACAATTGCAACCAACTGAGTACTTTAATTTGCAATTAAGATTGGAACGAAAACAGAGTCATACTAATAGACGACGCCAACCTATCAGCAAACACTAGCCACAAATTAGCAGAAATCAGTTGCCAAGGAATTTCCACGGAGACAGATTGTGACTATAGCACAATTGCAACCAACTGAGCACTTTTATTTGCAATTAAGATTGGAATGAAAACAGAGTCATACTAATACACGACGCCAACCTATCAGCAAACACTAGCCACAAATTAGCAGAAATCAGTTGCCAAGGAATTTCCACGGAGACAGATTGTGACTATAGCACAATTGCAACCAACTGAGCACTTTTATTTGCAATTAAGATTGGAACGAAAACAGAGTCATACTAATAGACGACGCTAACCGATCAGCAAACACTAGCCACAAATTAGAACGCTCACAAAGAAAGGAAAGCGTCAATCTCGTGTGAAGTCACTGCGAGAAAGTCTGCAAATCTAGAGCTGGTCGGGCAGTGCACATAAGAAGAATGCACAGAGAGAACAACGTGGAACATACGTGCATCAAATGCCACGCCAAATTCCCAACGAAAACAAACCTGAAGAATCACGGGAAGCACTGTGCAATAAAATGATCTCCGCAACCAACCTAGCGAGACATATGACCAGGAGCTGTAGAAAGCGACATGGAGGACCCTAACAGGGTGAATACCAGAGAAAGAGAGAGAGAGAGAGAGAGAGAGAGAGAGAGTTTACGCGGAAAAATACTTCCCGATTACGAGACAATTGCTTCAATTAAACCAAACATCAATTGAACTGCCTCAAGAACTGATCAAGTTTTAAACTCATAGTGGTTAGATCATGTTCCGAGGTCTATTATAATCCGCACTCCTTGATGACCAGGCAGAGACGTATCAGAAGCAAAAAAAAATGCCGGGTGATTTCCGAGAGTTTGTCGCACTGTGGTTATAATAATAATAAATTGTTTGCAAATTAGATTCCATTCATTGTAAAAGTTACTATATTTACAACCAAATAAAATCTCCTTGCGAGAACGCCGTGGATTTATGCAGCCCTTTTCAGGCGCCTCTGATCCTGCTATGACTTCTGTTATTTTTTAATATCGATAGTTAATCAAGAAATCAAAAAAAAAAAGATTTAATGATTTAAAGAGGAAAAAAATTGAAACGAAAAAAGGGGAAAGTTTCAGCAGTATACCTACCCTTGACAGCAAATCTTTTTTTAAATACTAATTCTACTCGAAAATGAGTTTAAACAGTTGATTATTTCCTAGAATAAAAATTGTTCTGGTTAGCCATGAAAACTGAATCGCACATTCTGTAAACTGAGACCCTTTCTAGCGGACATATGGTTTAGTCTAGGTAGCAGGAAGCAGAACTTCACGTGCACAAGCAAGAAACAGAAAAGGAGCTCTATGATTTCAAGATGCTGTTTGAATGAAGCTTTAAACTTCGTATTAAATGTGCGACTTGAGTTGAAAAAGTGGCTTCGCGATATTGGAAGATAATTTAATAAACTGTTTACCTCCTCGGCACTGGAGCAGGAGACTTCCCGAGCATTGATCACAGTCGTGTTTCCTTTCTCGTCTTCTCGGATGTGGAGGTTCTTGAAGGGGTAGTTCTCACTATCCAGCAAATCATGCAACTCCTCTTTGTAGATCTCAATGAAGGATACCTTCACCGAAAACTGGTGATCCTTCTCCTAGCACAAAATACCAAATCAGATAACACTGGTGCGTTTTCCTAAGCGAACTCTGTAAAAGCGATTGAAAAGGCGATCCCAATACTCGTTTCACTTCACCCTGCAACCTAATTTCACCGATATTATAATAGCTCTGCGTGTGATGAAACTTTCAACCTCACAACATATGAAATTTACGACAATCATCTTTCGAGGTGACGCCCAACAAGAAATTGTAAATTATGACTGCTGTTTCTACTACTATTACTTGGCCAATGGGGCCAGATCCAAACTATAATTAATTATTGGCTATAATTTAGATATTTTATCCCTATAAAATATTTAAGACTAACCAATCATCATCCATCAAACTAACAACCCACTTATTTGTAAGTGCTGAAATTACTGTAATTTCAGCACCAGAGAGATTTGAATTTAACTTAGAAATTAGTTGGACTCTCCAAGAAGACTTTAGCAGCCGCAACAAACCAGTATACCCTAGATCTATTGAGCCTAGCAGAGACTAGTTAAACACCCTGAGACTAGAAAGTATAAGAGTAAGATTAAGATTGGTATTAGACTAAGAAGTTGCACGAATCTATCCGGCCGAAAATAAGATAGCATGACGAGCAGACGATGTACCCTATCCTAAATTACTCTATGAGTTAGACCCTAGAACATAAACTCACTCCCTGGCAGACAAAATCCATTTCTGCGAAGATGAAGTCGATCGAGCGGGGAACTATTCCCACATGAGATTCGTCATCCGACTCTCCTTCTATCGTGTGCGTCTTCCCCGACACAGTCTGTCCATACGCGAAGATAGTCCGGTAGCCTTGTACAAAAAAAGCTTTCGTTCTCAACAAAATTTGCACAAATTAACATGACATGTTGAGGTAATCAAACAGAGGCGAAAAATGTCATTAATGAATGAACTTTAATCATGCCGATCCATCTCACGCATTTAAAATAACGTACAAACTTAGTGCAACTAACTGCGGAAAGCTTAGGTTAAAAACGTGACGGCCTCGTAATACAACACAAGTTCTACTTGTTTAATGACACTGACACTGACCTTGGAAGAACTGTTTGATCAAGGGGACACAGAGTGTCTGGAACACGTCTACTTGGTCACGTCTACTTGCATTCCAGTCATTCCAAATCATTAAATTCATCTGAAAATTAACCACAAACTATCCAATCAGTTTCACTAGCGTGTAACGCTCAAAAAAGTGCATATATCGAACTAAAAAAAGGCATACATTAGGAATGAGATCTGCATCCTTTGAGTGTACTCTGATTGCACCCAATTACAGGGTAGGTAATTTCAATATCTCAAGTTATTTATTCAAGTTTTTTATTCAAACTTTGAAAAACAATAAAATTTTGTAAAGTTTTTATATCTAAGTTCTTTCGAAAAAATATAAAATTACATTCAAAGTCACGTCGGAAACTAAAAGCATTTGAGCAGTCGGGAATTTGAAATTCCGAGAAACTTCAAAAAAAACACAGAAAATGTCATCTCTAGAAAACGACAAAAATTTGAGCAGCCATATTTGCAGCAAGATTGGCAACCCCTGAGAGCACTCTGACAGCCCCCAACTACACGGTTGGTAATTTCAAACTTTTCAAGAAATTTAGGTTTCTAGTTTTTTTTGAAAAAACCACAAAAAACGTCAATGTCGATAACCACAAGGATCTGCGCTGTCATATTTGGAGGCAAGGTTCACAACCCCTGAAAGTTTCTTATAAATCATAAAACATGTCGTATCTCGAAAACTACACGGATTTGAGCAGCAAAATTTGGAGGCAGGATTCTCAATCCCTGATGGAAAGCTGATACCAACCAACTACAAGGTTGGTAATATCGAATTTTAACTAATTTTTAATTTGAGTTCTGAAAAAATCCAAAAAATCGTCGTATCTCGTAACCTAAAGGGATTTGGGCGATCATAATTGAAGGCCAAATTTGCCACTCCTGGAAAAACCTTGACAGCATCTCAATATTGGGTTGCTAATTATAAAAATTCCGTGAAAAAAACTCTGAAATCGAACTGGAAAATCGAAAAAATTTACATAAACCATTGCAATCACGATATAGCTTAAAAAAGAAAAATTACTTTCGTTAAATATGCAAAAGTACTACGTTGAAAAAAAATTAAACGTAGCGAGATAAAGAAGCCCGTATTTCAATATATAATAGATAGATACATATCATCATCGTAAATAACAAAAAAAATATATCTTAAAATTGCGACGACCAATTGCAGTTTAATGATTCTTCATTACTCAGAACTGGTGTTTTTCTTTAATCACATATGCAGAAGCTTGCATACTTTAAGCTAACTTTTTCACCAATTCGGCTCTCATAGAGATTTTTGTATTCCCTTTTTTTCAGGTTTTAATATATGAACAAACAATCGTTACAATGAGAAAGATGTTTTTCTATTCGTTGTTTGGCAAAACGACTTACTTTTCTCAAAGAAACACTTTAATTATGGATTTCCGGCAAGAATTAAGTCTACCGCCTTTGATAGTCGACTAATGATTCATAGTTCCGACTTTCGAAGACAGTGACGGAAGATTTGTGCTCGAGTGTGTTTTTTTCTCCCAAATAGTTTACTAGTAATTTGTAACGAGAATTTTATATCATTAAAAAGGTGCTGTTGTCCTGAGCTGAAATTTAGAAGATTCACCTGTGATCATTTTTTGTAAAGTTATGAGTTTTAAACGTCGCCAACTTGTCCAGTTTGACACAATTAACGCGCGATACATTCGCACTATTGATGCGTAAGCGGAGATTTTATCCCTCTTAAAATCGTTCCAAACTGAATTCGTGTAGGTTATGAATTTTTTAGAAAACAGGTTTTTTTTTAAAGTTTAATATTAACCAATCATGATCCATCTAACTAACAACCCACTTATTAGTAATTTCAGCACCAGAGAGATTTGAATTTAACTTAGAACTAAGGATTACGTCTCAAATGGCATAATTCCCAAATGGCATAAAAATGAAAAATTTCCCAAATGGCATAAATTTGATGCAAGAGGCGCATTAGGAAAATATAGAACAATTTGTTCGTGAACAATAATGTGAGAAAACAAGTCATGTTGTCAATTCAAATGTTAATTGACATTTTATCTTAAAATTGTAGAACTTTTTTTATCAAAGCGAAAATCATAAGATTGCGGTTATTGATAAGCTTCATGTGGTCAATTTAAGCAAATTTTTTGCTTAACATTTGTTTGAAAGCAATAAATTCCAAATCTTGTTCACATATTTTCGTTCCTGACAAAACGTTAGAATTTGAAATTGATAGAAAACGTTTGAATTACAATGAAAACTTGAAATGTATGCCATTCGGGAAAAGTTTCATTTTTATGCCATTTGTGAAGTTACCGAACTTAGTTGCCTCTCCGAGAGACCTACTCGCACTAAACCAGTCTACTCTAAATCTATTGAGACTAATTGGGACTAGCAGATATAAGAGTGAGATTAAGATCGGTATTAGACTAAGAAGTTGCACGAATCTACCGGCCGAAAATAAGATAGCGTGACGAGCAGACGGTGTACCCTATCTGAAATTACTCTACGAGTTACAATTAGAACTTAACTCATCTGGTGCTTGAAAATATTTATAAAGGCCTGTCCTAATTTTCACCTTTATTTAACTTAAATTTATTTAAAATAAAAACAGATCATCAAGGCTTTCCTTGGATCTCAATTAAACATTAATATTATATCCTGATCATCAAGGCTTATCCTTGGATCAAATAGAACAATTTTCTTCTCCCACACCCAATTAATAAAGTGTCTAACGACCTCAAACGTCAATTCACTATCCAACCCTTTCAAAGACCCAGGACTAATAGAAATTTTTCAATCACTCTAACAGTTCAAATTAGGCTAAACAGCGAAGAACATCGGTTATTCATCCTTCACTTGACCCCCCCCCCCCCTCTTACCTGAACCAGGCTAAAACTTAGACTTAGTAAGTTTAAAATAGTATCTAACGAGCTACTTGCGTTCTAATTATACCCGAACCTTGTGGATCGATTTACTATTCTCCAACCCTTGAACAAAATCATTACACGATTTACACGAAAAAAATTTTTCAAAGCGAAGAAACGCAGTCTCCGAATCAGACATCAGTAATTTAGATGCACTTTACAAACTAAAAGACTCCGTAAATAAAAACTACTCAGTTAATGATCAATTAAAATTTTCTGACTCAGAAACCACATCAAACTCATCAATACAAGGAAAAAGAAGAATAAAAAATACATACAAAAATAAACCAGTACGTCTATACAATTGGAATCAACCAATCAGAGACATTGAACACTACGCATTAACAGTCATAAAACGCAGAAATGAGTCAAAGTGAAGAAAGTCCAGACGAAAACTTCTGTTTATCCACTTACTGATGATAGAGGACACATACAACTTTGCCAAAATTTGATCGCAAACTTATTTGAACGAGGAATTAGCCCATGTAAAACAGAATTCCCAGAAGTAAAAATCAAAAGACAAATTATCGATAGTTATTTAAAAGGAATCTGTAACCTAACACAACAGTTTGGAATTTATACTACAGAAATCAGTACACCAAGTAAATTTCATGGTAAATATCTCACTCAAACAGACGGCATCGACATAGATTTTCCAAAATTATTCACAGAGTACATAAAAACATACAACATCAAAACTCACAGAGAACGAATTCAATATTTACTAATGAAGTATTTGCAATAATATATAATTATTTTACTATATTAGAAAAAACAGAAACCCAAAGTACTTCACCAGTTCAAACATCAAGACACACAAATGTAAGAAAAGAAATTGCAGCATTTAGAGCATTTTTAAACACAATTCGTGAAAATTTATCAAGTAATGAAGTTTCACAAAAAATCTTAGCATGAATTATTATTGATTAGTTCACACATAATATTGATTTAATTGCACAAGCAAGAAAAATTTTTGCACCCCTAAGTACAAACAACGACACTGTCTTATCAGAACAATCAGATTATGTTTGGGACCCTGAATGGTCTCACCCACTATTTCTGAAAATACAAATAGACATCAAGTCAACCAATCAATACATTTTCCATTCACAAAAGTAACCCCACTCACAAAAGACGCAACACCCTTAAACCATAATTCATTTTTACCTGATAGGAGAGGAGATAATAGTTTCAACTATCGTACAACAAGAAAATGTAAATGGAACTAGAAATCTTACCCAACAAGATATTCAAACACCATCACGTCATAAATGAAGAATTAGTTGAAACAATAGTAACACCACACAACAAAGTATTTCACCAATACACCCAAACCTTTCAACGCCAATACCTAAAAATCCGATATTACCGCAGGTAACATTACAACCTACGGTTGATCCCTCTGTTGTTCCAAAATATTCACATATGAACTATCAAACAGATAGACCAATGACAAAACCATCGCAAAAACCAAAAACATTCACCAGAAATAATTTTGCAGAACACAATTACAATTATGTCAATCAATCACAAACAACTCATCCGCCCGAATAAATACGCAAAATCATTTATTTTCACAAAAATCAAATTTTCCAAACATCATCAAATTCAGTAAACTTTCATGACTATTCACATCCTTCACAGGATATGAGTTAAAATTTACCCATTTTTCCAACAAAATAGAAATAAACAACAAACAACCTATTATATAACCAACAATGTATCATCAGACGATGACGATTAAAATCAACCTGATATTTTTGCACCGTATACACAAGAATATCGTGTACAAAACCCTCGACAAAATCAAGCATCTCAAAATATAAAGGTTTACCTACAAAACTCAGATAATACACAAAGTCATCAACCATTGCAAATGCAAAACTCAACTAATACACAACACTACCAATCAGTACCACTACAAAACCCTGCCAGTATACATTCCTACCAACCAACACAAATGCAAAACGAAATCCCGTTACCATATTATTTACAACAACATGAAATTACAAAAAGTCAACTTACAAACTTCTCACAAATACCAAATGCTGCAGAATCATTACAAATGACAATAAATCCATACTTAATGGGTGGATCGTCAATAACATCAAATATACCATTAATGGTATTCACAGGCACATATCCTGAATATTGTGTAGA